AATAACGAGTTGATGAAGGTGTTCGTGGTGCAGGAACAGACCAAGCGATCACCTCCTACCCGCCCAGCAGGTGACCCACGTTCCTCGTCTACCACCTGTGTGTGTCCGACTCTACGGCGATTTGAAATTCGCTCGTTCGAACACTTGCAATCTTTCGTATATATACATATATTTTTTTTTTCCATTTTCAAAACATACTAAGTCTGACAGTTCCTTACAAAATAAGATAAGCTTTATAGTTATATTACTGCTAATTACTAATACGATCAGCAACTAACTAACAATTATATTAACACAACATTGGCTATTTACAATAACCCGTGCCTTTTTTTTCTGACTTTTTTCTTCGTGAACTTTTTTCCTGGATTCGATCTTATTACCTTGACGAAACTATATTAATTACTATATTTTTTTTTTACACTTAATTTCTCACAATATAAAAGTCACCTTGTACACTATTAAACTAATTATTCATCCCAATTACAGATGTTGTGGTATAAATCATTGAACGTAATTGGCTTTGTTTGTAGTAATTTGCGAACCTTGGGTCAAATTTTTCTTTAAATAATTTTCTACCTTTTAGCTTAAGAATTAAAGGTAACCCAAATATTTAATTGTCTTATATTTTAAACGACGTAAAATATAAGGGAATTAATTGCATTTGTTCTATTAGATTTCTATGATAGATAATTTATTTCGTATGTAGGTTAAATAAATTGGACTCGTGGTGTTAATATTATATAGGACTCTAGGGGATAATGTATTGTATTCAAGGGTTAATATAATGTACTCAAGGGTTATTATATATGTACTCAAGGGTTAATATAATGTACTCAAGGGTTATTACATATATATTCAAGGGTTAATATAATGTACTCAAGGGTGAATATAGTGTACTCAAGGGTTATTATATATGTACTCAAGGGTTAATATAATGTACTCAAGGGTTAATATATTGTACTCAAGGGTTAATATATTGTACTCAAAGGCGTTAAAATATTGTACCCAGTGATCAAAACATGGTACTCAGTGGCCAAACATCGTACTCAAGGGTTAAGGCATTGTACTCAAGGGTTAAAACATCATAAAACACAGACACTAAAACCTTGATAATAAAACACCTCTTTTTATAAAATGGTTTATTTCTCCATAAAATATTTATTAACATCTTCCCGCGTGAAATACATGAAATACGAAAACTCTTATACTGTTTTATCCTAAGTGACATAAACCGTGACGACATGAATTAAAACTAGCAAGTTGACAGGAGTGAGGCGACCGGGACATCAACCTATAACATTACTATAAAAAAAAAATAATCCCCCAAAAAAAAATCTTTGACATTGATGATAAGAGAAAAGAGGGCTAGAGAAAAGCAGAGTGTTACAATGTTGGGAGGAGTACCACGAACGGGATAGATTGAGGAAGGGAGCAAGTGACATCAGGATCAAGTGGACAACTGACCTTGACCTCATCTGATGTGACTTTGGTCTATGTTAACTTAACCTGGCATAAATTAAACTAAAATCTTTATATTAGGTTTAAGTTAAATTTACTTGGGTTAGATTGAGTTAGGTTAGGTTAGGTTAGATTAGGTTCTGATGGATTAGGTTAGGTTATGCCAACGTTGGTTAGGTTAAATTTGCTTAGGTTATGAATAAGTTAGATTTTACTAGATTAAGTAATGGTTGGTTTAACTAGATTAGTTTTGGTTAGACCAAGTTAGGTTAAAATCTGTTAGAGGTTAGGTCAAGTTAGGTTAAGTTCGATTAGATCAGGATAGGTTACGTAAGATTAGAGGTCAGGTTAGGTTAAAAGTTAGAGTAAGCTATACCATATTATTAGACTAGGTTAGGTTAGGTTAAGCTCGTCATCTCAAAAGATAAAAATAGTTCCCTCAGGTGAGTCACTCCAGGTAAGTCAACAACACAGTAACACCTGCCATAACAACTTAACTGTCTTAACTACTGGTAGGGAGGGGGGGGTGGAGGGGTGGAGGGGGAGGGGGAAGGAGGGGGAGGGGAGGTCAATTGGTATATCTTAGGAAATAGATAATACAAAAACGTCCCATGCAATGTTTGGAGAGTAACCTATCATCATCATCATCATCATCATCATAGTCATCATCATCATCATCAACCACTATCATCACCACATATCATTAACATCATCAGCATCAATAATAATCAATATCATTAACTATTCAAATTATCAACATCATCATCAACAGGTGTAATGATGACCTGCCTTAGGAGGTTACCTGTCCCTCACGACATATTATTAGATTCACACACACACTATGTGACACAGTTGATTCACATACTCAGTGTTTGACAGTATGTGAGAATTGTGATGCCCCTTTTGTCCAATACTGATGATGTATAATGCTTCCAATGGTTCACAATCTCTAGGTTATGAGACTATTTGACACCTACAATGATCTTCAAACCTTCATGGTGGGACTTACGTGACACCTGTAATGGTTCTCGTCTCCAACAGTGATGATACGACACTTACAATAGTCCTCTTCTTTAACATTTACACGATGTGACACCGTGATACAAGGTTCTTCTTTCACCCTCTATATTGAGAGTATGTGACACCAAGATTCTGTCCAGCGTTGACACTATAATGACACCTACAATAGTGTCACGTTCTCCATAATAAAACTCTAAGCGACACACAATGTCTATTATTTTTCTTATGCAGTATATGACACAATATTTACCCTCCATGTGTCCGATATATGACACAATACTCATCATTTTCTTTGGTTTTTCAGTATATGGCACAATAGTCTTTACTCTCCATGTTTCTAGTATACAACACAATAGAATTCTTCCTCCTCATCATTCAGTATTTACAGTGACCATCATCAACTTCCCTCATCCACCTTCTTCACATTGTGGTCAAACATTCCTCGCTTCACCTTTCTTTAATCTTATTCTTGATTCTATATTCAAGTAAAACTCATCCAAGTGTTTAACATAGACTGAAGATTACTGTACCTCACCTCGTCTCTCTCTCCTTGTTGACGAAGATCGCATTTAAGATTCTCAAAACTTACTCTCGTATTTTTTCGTTTATACTCCAGAAAAAATAAGTAAATAAATTTGTCTCAATGCGCCTTCCTTTCTTCCTTCCAGTCATTCACCCCCCCCCCCCCACTCCAAACTCGCCCTGTTGTTGTGTTTTCTGTGTGTGTGTGTGTGTGGGTGAGTTGTTTTTGTCTCTAAATTTAAAAAGAAAACGAATGAAAGTTTGGTAAAGTGACGTATATCTACCGTCACTTGTCTCCCAGATGTAAACAAACACTACCTTCACTACAAATATAAATGAAACAAGTGAAGATTATAGACTTTAAGAGAAGTACTGGGGATTGAGACCTACTACCGTACCATCTTCTCCCTCCTGCCGCTGGGAACTGATATAAGCTCCTGGATCCGATTCTCGTTTTCTTTAATTTTAAATTGAGGGAAAACTAAACTAAAAATAACATCTAGAAGAAACTAAAAATAAACCAGGAAAAACTAAACTAAAATAAAATATTATAAAACTGAAATACCCCTAAAAACAGATATGGGAAGAACTATAAAAGAAAACCTATATATATATATATATATATATATATATATATATATATATATATATATATATATATATATATATATATATATATATATATATATATATATATATATGCAGGGTAAACTAAAAAAAAATGTAAAAATGTAAATAAACACAGACTTCTCAACTATACTACCAGCACCTTCCTCTTCCTCCTGCTGGTGCTAACGCCGCAGATGTTATGGTCTGTTTTAATCTTACACTCTGGTTTATGATGTGGTGTGGATATACAACAGAGAGATTATGATAAAAGTTGGTGTGCAGGTGTGTATGTGTGTGTGTATGTGTAAGTGTGTGTGTGTTAATTTGAGCTTCTCGCCCCCCTCCACCAAAAAAGCCAATCATTCAAATACACAATAAGATAAGAAGTTGATTGAGTGTGTCAGGTCGGCTAAGCTTTAAGCTGACTTAGTTTCAAGGATTTTAAAAGTCAAGCTGGTTATAACAAGAAAATATCCCCCACAGCTGTGTAGATACAAAGTGATGTAAATCCTTGAACGAGTAAGTCTTTGATAATGCTACACACAACATCGTCATTCTCTGTGTTATTTATGCTCTATGTCCTTCTTCTTGTTCTTGTTCTTCTTGCTCCTCTTGTTCTTGTTCTTCTTCGCCTCCTTCTTCTTCTTCTTCTTCTTCTCCTCCTTCCCTTTCTCCCCCTCGTCCTTCTTCTTCTCCTTGAGGCGCCATCATCGTACACACACACACACACACACACACACACACACACACACACACACACACACACACACACACACACACACACACACACACACACACACACACACACACACACACACACACACACACTATCTTAACCCTCTCAGTCTTTACTCTGGGATCTTCAAACTCTAGGCAAAAAGGAATTCACAAAAGCGCAAATCACTACCCAACACTTCCACCAGCCAGTCTATATCTCTATCTCTCTATCTCACATTATCTCTCTCGACTTCTTCCCAGGCGCATCATCACTGTAAGTTCACTGGATTTCTCTTTCACCGACTATCATCAGCTGGTTTTTTTTTTTTTTTTTTAAGCCTCTCTTTTTGAAAGCTTTTAGAGGATATACTTTTGTTTCACTTGCATTAATTTATCTCATATCTATGCTTGCTTCTATCTCCTCTATCTCTCTCTCTCTCTCTCTCTCTTTCTCTCTCTATACTTAAGAGAATATTATTTATCTCTTTCTCACATTTTTCTCTCTATCTTGAAGACTCCAGATGAACATAATTTATCTCCCTCTCTCTCACTCTCTCTCTCCCCCTCATTTTTCTCTCAATTTTTCTCTCTCTGTTGAAGACTCGTGAGGAACATCATTTACAATACAGCTTCTCGTCTCCAGAAAGAACCGTGACAAGAGAAAAATCACAGTTAACTTGTTCTGGGATTCACAAAACTACGACTGCAATCTTCATAAGAGATCATTCTCTTACCGTGTGTGTCTGTGTGTGTGTGTGTGTGTGTGTGGAGGCATTACTGCAGAGGATGGTCTTGAGGTCCACTACTGCAGAAGGTGTGGCCACTTGTCTTGTGCCCACTACTGCTGACCACTACTGCAGAAGATTTTGTGGCCACTACTGCAGAAGGTTTTGTGGCCACTACTGCAGAAGGTTTGTGTGACCACTACTGCAGAAGGTTTTGTGGCCACTACTGCAGAAGGTTTTGTGGCCACTACTGCAGAAGGTTTTGTGGCCACTACTGCAGAAGGTTTTGTGGCCACTACTGCAGAAGGTTTTGTGGCCACTACTGCAGAAGGTTTTGTGACCACTACTGCAGAAGGTTTTGTGGCCACTCCTGCAGGTTTTGTGGCCACTACTGCAGAAGGTTTTGTGGCCACTACTGCAGAAGGTTTTGTGGCCACTACTGCAGAAGGGTGTGGAGTCCCAGAAGAACAGCCAAGAGGGAGAGAATATTCTTGAGGGAGGAGGAAGTGTAAGTCCCTTGTCCGCCATGTTGCATCGCTGCCGGGTGTTCTCCTAGGGACAAGGGGTAAGACTCACTAATACACTAGTTCCTGACCAACACACACACACACACACACACACACACACACACACACACACACACACACACACACACACACACACACACACACACACACACACACACACACACACACACCTCAACGCTGAATCAAAGCTAGGAGTCTATCTCAGCATTGATACTACGTTGAAGTGACATCTAATGGGTCGATGAAAGGTTGTAACCCACTCTCAACACACTCTGGACACACTCTGAACACACTCTAGACACACTCTGAACATACTCTGAACACACTCTGAACACACTAATCCCAAGGACAAGTGACAATCAATAGTCCGTCCATAGTGGCAATACAAATTTCCAAGGTCATAACAGTTCATTTACTCTTCAATTTACTTTACTAATGACCTCTGACCATACTAATGACCTCTGACCTTTTAACTATCAATAAACACTAATAAAAAAAACTTTACCCCTGGCCGTTATTAAACACAAATAAAGGTCAATACAATACCTCTGTGACCTCAAAAAAATCCCTAATATAAAATGTTTGTCCTCTGACCTTTGACCTTTTAGTAATAGGATCAAGAAAAATATATCAGTGACCGTAATGTAAAATAAGTTTGGTCATCAATTGAATGAAGATGATTACAGTATAAAGAATTGACCAATGTTAGTAATATTATTGACCTTTGACCTCTAGCAAGTAATGAGGTCATGGATAATTACTATAATGTTTATAATAATTTGATCCAAGATTGTCTATAATTATCCCCTACACTTCCAATACACATTCCCACACTACATCCAGACTACCCCACACTACATCCAGACTACCCCACACTACATCCAGACTATCCCACACTATATCCGGACTATCCCACACTACATCCAGACTATCCCCACTACATCCAGACTATCCCCACTACATCCAGACTATCCCCACTACATCCAGACTATCCCCACTACATCCAGACTATCCCACACTACATCCAGACTATCCCACACTACATCCAGACTATCCCCACTACATCCAGACTATATACTACATCCATCCCCCCCACTACATCCAGACTACCCCACACTACATCCGGACCATCCCCACTACATCCGAACTCCTCCACTAAACCCATCCCCACTACAACCGGGCTAAACCCCACGACACCCGGATTACCCCCCCACTATATCCGGACTTCCACACTACATCTGGATTCCCCTCACTACATCCGCACTACCCCCACTAGACCAATCCACCCATTACATCCGGACACATCTACTACATCCGAACCCTACTAAACCGACCCCCCAATACATCCGGGTTAACCCTTACTATATCCGAACTGCTCTACAAGATCCATCCACCTACTACATCCGAATCCCCCACTGCATCTGTTCTAACCCCCTACTATATCCGAACCCCCACCATTAAGGACGTGTACGGTGACGTTGGCAGGGGAAGCGTTGGAAGGATTGCAGTCGTATCGTCCAGAGTCGGATGGTTGGGCCTTCTGGATGAGGAGGGAGCTCGTGGTCACGTCTCCCTTCTCGATAATGACTGTTACTCCTCCACGTGTCGAGTCGTAGCTGATGATCTGACGGAGAGAAGCAGGTGTTATCAGGTGTTACAAGAGAGAGAAAGCAGGTGTTATCAGGTGTTACGAGAGAGAAGCAGGTGTTATCAGGTGTTACGAGAGAGAGAAGCAGGTGTTATCAGGTGTTACGAGAGACGCAGGTGTTATCAGGTGTTACGAGAGAGGTGTTATCAGGTGTTACAGAGAGAGAAGCAGGTGCTATCAGGTGTTAGAGAGAGAGAAGCAGGTGTTATCAGGTGTTACAAGAGCAGGAGAGAGAGAGGAGAGAGAGAGCAGGTATTATCAGGTGTTACAAGAG